CTGCAGTCTCTGACCATCTCCTGTAGTATGTCTGCAGTCTCTGACCATCTCCTGTAGTATGTCTGCAGTCTCTGACCATCTCCTGTAGTATGTCTGCAGTCTCTGACCATCTCCTGTAATATGTATGCAATGTCTGTTCATCTCCTGTAGTATGTCTGCAGCCGCTGACCATCTCCTGTAGTATGTCTGCAGCCGCTGACCATCTCCTGTAGTATGTCTGCAGCCGCTGATCCTCTCCTGCAATATGTATTCAGTCTCTGACCATCTCCTGTAGTATTTCCGCTGTCTCTGATGATCTCCTCTAGTATGTCTGCACTCTCTGACTGTCTCCTGCAGTATGTCTGTAGTCTCTGATCCTCTCCTGTAGTATTTCTGCAGTCTCTGATCCTCTCCTGTAGTATGTCTGCAGTCTCTGACCATCTCCTGTAGTATTTACATAGTCTCTGATGACCTCCTGTAGTATGTCTGCAGTCTCTGACCATACCCTGTACTATGTTTGCAGTCTCCGATCCTCTATGTACTATGTTTGCAGTCTCTGGCCATCTCCTGTGGTATGTCTGCAGTCTCTGACCATCTCCTTAATTATGTCTGCAGTCTCTGACCACCTCCTGTAATATTTCTGCAATCTCTGATCCTCTCCTGTACTATGTCTGCAGTCTCTGATCCTCTCCTGTAGTATTTCTGCAGTCTCTGATCCTCTCCTGTAGTATGTCTGCAGTCTCTGACCATCTCCTGTAGTATTTACATAGTCTCTGATGACCTCCTGTAGTATGTCTGCAGTCTCTGACCATACCCTGTACTATGTTTTGCAGTCTCCGATCCTCTATGTACTATGTTTGCAGTCTCTGGCCATCTCCTGTGGTATGTCTGCAGTCTCTGACCATCTCCTTAATTATGTCTGCAGTTCTGACCACCTCCTGTAGTATTTCTGCAATCTCTGATCCTCTCCTGTACTATGTCTGCAGTCTCTGACCATCTCCTGTAGTATTTCTGCAATCTCTGATCCTCTCCTGTACTATGTCTGCAGTCTCTGACCATCTCCTGTAGTATTTCTTCAGTCTCTGACCACCTCCTGTAGTATTTCTGCAATCTCTGATCCTCTCCTGTACTATGTCTGCAGTCTCTGACCATCTCCTGTAGTATTTCTGCAGTCTCTGACCACCTCCTGTAGTATTTCTGCAATCTCTGATCCTCTCCTGTACTATGTCTGCAGTCTCTGACTATGTGCATTGTTTACAATAAATCGACTGACTTAGTGGGGTTGATTTACTAAAGGCAAATAGACTGTTTGCACTGCAAGGAAATTGCTTAGTTAATGTTGTAAAAATTCACTTTGCAAAGCATATCCAATCACGTGCAAGGAAAAAATATATATTTTTGCCTGCACTTAATTAGATGATGGAAGACAGCAGAGTCACTAAGATAAAGAAAATCCTGTTGGAAATGTAGCCCAGCTTACATTTTCTTTGTTATTTCCCCCCCTCTTCGCTGCAGCCAAGGCAGGCCATAGATTATTCAGTGTTCTTTTGGGTTGCAAGAAAGAAAATCGCTTTTTTCCCCTATAAACACAGTCAGGCCAGGTTCACATTTGTGCATTTTTTTATGCATTTTGCAGGAACGCAGTGCATGTCATTTATCGTGATTTCCTATGGATCACGTTCACATCTACGCGTTTTTTGCGGGTGCATTTTTTGGAAAGGGTCACGGACTTCTTTTCCCACAGCAGTTTTCGTTTTAGTCCAATAGACTTCGATGGAACCACATTTAAAACGCAAGTGCTGCATTTTGCGTGCATTTTTTATGCATTTTGAATCTGTCCAGCAACAAGTTGGCCAAAAAAAAAGCAAAACGCATCAAAAACCAGCCGTCCGAGATTCGATCCATCTATGGCTGGTCTAATAGATGGACAGGAGTGGCTGCAGTAGGAAGGAAAGTACACTATAGGGCTGTGAGCCTGATTAAGCCCTGCCCACCATCCAATAGACTTCAATGGAACTACATTTAAAACGCAAGTGCTGCGTTTTGCGTGCATTTTTAATACATTTTGAATCTGTCCAGAAACAAGTCGGCCAAAAAAAAGCAAAACGCATCAAAAACTTGTAAAAAACGTGCAAAAACGCAAAACGTACCGACCGCAAAAAGCACTGCAGAAACGGATCAAACGCAAACTGCATAGGTGTGAACTTAGCCTGAGTGTTGATGAGGAAATCCCTCCCATGGAGCTATTGTATTATGCAGACAGGAAGCCTTCCAGTCCAGCAAAACACAATGATTGCTGCTAGTGGCTATAATGGCCGTAGTAATCGCCATAGTAATCGCATCAGAAAAATCTTGACGGCTGGTTGTACTGAAGTCGATCCATCAATCGATTTCAGTACAACCAGCCTGCCCATAGATGGATCGAATCTTGGCTGCTCTCTTCTGAACTGTCCGAGATTCGATCCATCTATGGCTGGCCTAATAGATGGACAGGAGTGGCTGCAGTAGGAAGGATAGTACACTATAGGGTTGTGAGCCTGATTAAGCCCTGCCCACCATTCAGAGGACACAGAGGAAGAGGATATGGATTGCTGTGCCTTCTGGAAATGACAAAACGCCTGCTAGGAGAAAACTGGGGTTGATGGTAGATGTATTCTTCACACTGTGGCACAGTTCTGTAGAAGGAGCAACAGGAACTACATTTATCAGGGTGCCTAGGGAGAGAAGACAGACCAAGGAGGAGGGGGAAGATAGCTGAGAACCCGGAGGAAGGGGAAGATAGCTGAGAACCCAGAGGAGGGGGAAGATAGCTGAGAACCCGGAGGAGGGGAAGAGATAGCGGAGAACCCGGAGGAGGGGGAAGATAGCTGAGAACCCGGAGGAGGGGGAAGATAGCTGAGAACCCAGAGGAGGGGGAAGATAGCTGAGAACCCTGAGGAAGGGAAGATAGCTGAGAACCCGGAGGAGGGGGAAGATAGCTGAGAACCCGGAGGAGGGGGAAGATAGCTGAGAACCCGGGGAGGGGGAAGATAGCTGAGAACCCGGAGGAGGGGGAAGATAGCTGAGAACCCGGAGGAGGGGGAAGATAGCTGAGAACCCGGAGGAGGGGGAAGATAGCTGAGAACCCGGAGGAGGGGGAAGATAGCGGAGAACCCGGAGGAGGGGGAAGATAGCGGAGAACCCGGAGGAGGGGGAAGATAGCTGAGAACCCGGGGGAGGGGGAAGATAGCTGAGAACCCGGAGGAGAGAAAAATCACACTGCAGAGACAGAGGTTGCAGGCTACAAAATGTGCTGCAGACTCAGGCATGAAGCAGAAAAGGATCTCAGGCTGGCTGTTACTGGATCAAAGAGGGTCACTGAACGCAGGCATGAGGTCCCAGATTGCACACCTCCCTATGTGAACCAAACTGCTTTATTTTTAAATAAAGTCTTTCCATTTTTATTACATACCATTTTTGTACCCAGTGGGTCTCCGTGCTTCCCTCTGCAATGCGGGCAGATCATAGTTGGTGGGAGGGGCTGATAGGGTGCTGTACATAGATATTTGAAAATATCACAGCACCCTGCCCTAGTGTAGGTTTTTCCGCTGTGTTTTGCGTTTTGCAAAAATGCCCAGCAGTCCATTTTCCATGATTTCCTATGGGACAGGTTCACATCTCAGCATTCGCTTGTGCTTTTTGGAAAGGGTCAGGGATTTTTTAAACACAAAACGTTGTGTTTTTGGTTCTATAGACTTCAATGGAGATGCTGCAGAAAAGCATGTAGTGCATTTTTGATGTGTTTTTGATGCGTTTTATTCTGCCTAGCAACAAGTTGCCACAAAAAGCATGGCAGAAACAGATCAAATGCAAACTGTATAGGTGTGAACCTAGCCTTAGTACTCCTCTCCAGACCCCTCAGTCCTGAAGCAAGCAGTGGGATTACTGTTGGGAGAAGTTGTACAAAATATCAAAATGCCTTGATTGGTGAATGTCAGTCTAGAGGAGAGGGTGTTCCTAGAAAGGCCATATTTGCAAAAGGACCACCCTAGGTAATGCCCACATGTGATGCTGAACCTCCATGATTGAAATGACTGAAATCTAACGAATGAAAGGGGTGGGCCAAGGACAGTCAGTTTAGGAAGGAAAAGGCAAGAAGATATTGGATATCCTGTCAATCTGACTGCAGCTTTTAATGCACACTGTGAGAAGCTTACATTGTGCAGTGAAATCAGAGTAAGCAACATCAGTAGAGGAGCTTGTAGAACTGTGCAAGACCTAAGTTCAGCTTTAATTTTCAATGTTAACTGGTGTGCACCAAGAAGAAGAACACTGGTAAGATGTATAATTTTTCATCTATTTCAATAATAACATTAAACCAGGAACAATCAATGGGCAAAAAAATGCTTGAGATAACCTTCTTCCCCATCCTAACATGACAGTAAAAAGAAATAAGCTATTTTTTACATAAATAAATGCACGGATGTGCAACATTAAATACTCCCAATTGGATTGGGTTGTATGCTCAGTGTCAAAGGTAATGCAACTAATACACTGAATTCATCAGTCTACGTCCTTCCAGTGCATGACTGGTGGTACAAGAACTTACAACTAAATGGATTTACTAGTTAAAGTCTCATATCATGCCTTCATATTCGCCGTGGGCCAGGGAGTCTTGTGTCCATGTCTATTTGGAGTCATCTGCTTTACTGCATTTTCCATGGTAAAACAAGTCATTTTACAGTATTTCATGAAGCCCCTTTATATACAATGAACACAGTTAATATGGGTAACTAGACCACTGGATTCATTTCAACTCCGCTCTTTTTTATCAGGCAATTGCTTTTTATGAATTAATCCCATACGTCATTTCTTGAGATGAAGGCTCAGGTTGTATAGATCAGGTCTCAGCTCAGCAGGAGTTTTTTAATATTTCTTCATGATGTCCAATGATGTCTCCGTTGTCTAAAAGCAAAATAGTACTGTTCCAGTGGAAGATGGTTTCATTTTCCTGAATAGATATTTGCAATGTGTGTCGTATTTCAGGATGTAAAATAGGAGTTTTGCATGGAGTAGAGACGATCAATGGGATTCCCCACTCTGGATTGCAGAGAACCTACTTCTGGTGCTGCTAAGAGACATTCACCAAGGCTGAGAGATGCATCATCGCTATCCATATCATGGAACAGGGTCTCTCCACCTGAAAAGATGTAAAACCACAAAATGTAACTGCTATCAACTGCTTAGAAAGAACAAACTGAACAGTGCTGTCTAAAACAGTGATGTTAACACTATGGTAAATATTGTAAGTATAAGGACCCTTTTACACCAGAAGTGTCTGTTCTGATTAGTAGAGGATGCGTGAACAGACGTCACTTTTATGACATCCATGTCTCTTAGTTTTGCTCATCCAGAGCTTAATAAATCCATGTTAGAGCTATGTGCAGGCAGATGTAAACAGACTTGCATCCATTTACATCCGACTACCCCAAATCCATCATGCTTGTGTAAAAAAACAGAAAAAGACATAGACCTTTTTGTTTTTGTGGGGCCTAGATGGACATTGAGGTAATCACATGTAAACAGACCCACATCAGCCTGCTCAAAGCCTGACATGAGGCTTCCATTCAGACCTGTCTGAAAGGTGGATTTGATCGGAAGGCCCATTTTAAACAACATTGTCCTGGATGCTTTATTATAACAATGTTAGATCTCAAAAGATAATTGTATACCACTTCTTTTGTCAGGGATAAGTTTCAGGTCCCATGGGTCGAGATAAATAAAAAACCTAAAGGATTTATGTGGCACAGGAACCCTTGGTAGTGTGGGGTGGTGGTCATGGAAGAGTCAAAGCCACCAGAAGTATTGAATAGACATTTATTGGTAACACCAAAGATGCATTTATTGGCTAATACCCCTCTTCATCAGTGTATGCAGTGTTTTACAGAGGTTCTGTGCCTCCTGGTTGTGTAGCAATCCTCAGGTTGTGTCTGTGTAAACGCAACCAGGAGACACTAAACCTCTGTGAGACACCTCAAAAACTGATAACTTTGCCCCTTCCATGACCACCACCCCACAATATCAAGGGCAACTCTGCTGCATAAACCCTTAAAGGCTATTTCTCTTCATCCACAAGTTCTACCCACAACCCTAACATCTCCCCTGAGGATTGGACCACTCAGTGGCATCGTGTATAACTGTCCACTTCCTGCATGGAGACAGGGATATTCTCTGCAGTCTAATCTGGATGGTTGCATTTACCATAGTTGGCTACTTGCATCCATACCGAATTGAAGTGCTTCTCATATCAGATCATCACACTCCTAAAAATATTTAGTACATTATAAGGGTTCTCTTGTTTCTCCTCTTGTCTTCTCTTTTTTTCTGGTGAACATTGCAGAGTTTTTCTACTGCCTCAGCTGCTATGGAGGATTACCACTCTACAAATATCAGATTTCAGGTCCGCACTGTGTGGTTAAAAGTTCCCAGGAGCCTGGTATGGAAATCTATTTTAACTCTCACTGCAGCCAAAACAGACCTCTCAACTTAAATAGACTCTTGGGTTAATTTGATAAAGGAGTTTAGAAACTTTGCACAAAAATTGTATAAATATCCACTTCAATTATTCAATTATGTTCAGATGAAATAAATGAAAAGGAATTTGCTTTTCACGGTTGCCTTTGGAAACTCAACCTCTTTGTTTGAAGAAACAAGCAAACAAACTGCTGCAGGTCTAAAGTTCACACATCTTGAGATGCCTTCCTTAACTGTAGAACCTCAAAAAGCCTTCAGACATGGCCAAATGCTGGGCAATTATGACACGTTCTCATACTGCCTAAGTTTGCCCACCCCTTCCTGCCTTCTGGACATTCCTACTGGCTAGTTTGGCAGCCCATCAGAGTGATAGGCTAATAGGAATTTGGTGGGGCAGGATTTAGCAGCAAGCTTTCATACTACATGGAGACGTTGAAGCTTTCTACATCAGAATGGCCCAGAATTCAACTGTATCTGTGGACTTTTTGAAGCTATTAGGGGTATGTGCTGGCACTTCAATGTGACCAAATTTTATAAATAAAGTTTTTCTTGTTCTAGAGATATTTAGATTTAAAGTATATTGCTACATTTTCAGACAAATTGAGATAACACCAACTTTATATTTTTTATGCGTTCTAATTCACATAGTATAATAAAAAAAAATAAAATAAAAATAGCTTCTTACCAATTTATTGGCTTTTTACTTGTTTCCCCCTTGTATGTGCAGAGCTTGAACCAATGTAAGTATACGTATTTTATGCCCAATGGGTGATCACTGTGATCTTCTGGGTCATGTGTGGCTGCTCCACTGTATACTGACCACAGGTAGGCACTTGCTCAGCACTGCCTCCATTTACTGAATGCCTTATATTTTTTCAGTGTATACAAGATGTTTTCTGACTGAACAAGGCAAAGAGGAGAGGCAGGAATATCACAATCTCTACCTTATCCAGTCAGAGAAAGCCTTGTATTCATTGAAGATACCTGGAGTATAACAGCAATTACTGTACTAGCGCCAACTACTACAATGATTTCCAACTTCCACAATGGTCCCCCAGATATGGGATTTGCATACTTACATTGGTGTGCTGTACCAACAAAACTATGCAATTAAGATCATACCTAGAGTTCAGCTTTAAGGAGGGGACTGGGGATTAATGTTTGCGATAATTAACCCTGTCTGTCCTGTGCTGTCCATTTTTCATTTGCAGTTGTAAACTAGATGTACAGGACTGTTTGTCCTAACAAAGGTTACAGATTCCAAGACACACTGTTAATGCAAGAAAAAAAAAAAAACAGCCTCACTTTGTTCCTTGTCTTCACATTGCAATCTATTCTAAGCAATAGACCCTGCGTATAATGTCCTATAGAAACCTGCTTCAGAAAAACAACTAGAAAGGTGAAATTCTTTAAAATGACTTTTAGGTTTGCCTTGTGAATGGGAACACATAACAAACATGCACTTTGGGTTTCTCACATGTGACTACAACATTAAAAAAATACACTTTAAAGAACAACTCCAAATTAGGAATTAAAGGATACGTTCACCTTTAAAAAAAAAATATTTTTTTGCAGGTAAAAAATGTGCATTTACTAATTTTTTTTTAGAAGCCTAAAAGCATTGCGGCAACAATCAGCAGATCGCTGGTGCCATGCAGGACTCCTGCAGACTGTCAGGGTCTTTGGGTGTTTGCTCGTACATCATACATGCAGGCAGTTTCACACTGACAGAAAGAATCAGTGAACTACCAGCACATTCCACAGTGCTGTAGTTCATTGAGAACTACAAGTGAACAGCCGCAAAGGATGCTGGTACTTGTAGTAGATTAATTCTCAGAACTATGTGAATGAATGACACGGCCGTGTGAGTGGAGTCCCGCATGGCCATGCTCTTTTCAAAAAGTGACAGCTAGTACGGGGATCTTCTCCCCATACTGCTGTTACAGGGAGAGAGGGGATAGGTGACCTGCTGCAACAGTGGGAACATGTTACATGTTCCACTCTAAAAATGGATGGAACATGTAACAGGTTCCCAAACTGTAGGATTCTGCCACTTTGAAAAATTTTCAGGATTACTAGGGGTTAAGTCCAGCAAGGTTCATGCCACCACATGGACTTATCTCTTCAATTTACAACTGACATTTTTAAGGAATGCCTGGATGAAAGAAAGGTGAAAACGAGTATTTTATTTTAAAAATCCCTATTGTTTTTGATACACCATGTGCTAATAAACAAACTATATTAATTTAGGATTTGCATTTACTATAAGACTCCACTCTTACCCTGCCCGCATCATGTTGTGTTTTTAGTAGCCTCAGAAGCTGCTGCTGATTATAGCATTTATTCGACATATGCATTTGGCTGTATTGCTAAGTACAATGCAACACATCTCAACCAAAATCCATGCTATTCCGATGCTTTGATGTGTGCTGAGCTTGAACCTGAACCAGGGGCGGACTGACAACTCATGGGGCCCCCGGGCAATAGGGGATCATGGGGCCCCTGTGTCCTCATCCACACTCAAACCACACCCAAAGGTACCAGGGGCATCTCATGGTACCAGGGGCACCAGGGGCCCCTGGTACCAGGAGCATCTCATGGGGCCCCCTACTGACCCTGGGCCCTCGAGCAGTGCCCGAGTTCCCAAATGGTCAGTCCGCCCCTGACCTGAAACTATACATTTTGAAACTTGATTTTAAGCAGCTACACTTAGCCGCTACAGACAAAATGTTGAAGTGTAACTCAGGGCAGTTTGGTCTCTTAAATAACTGTTTATACCAGCCCTAGGCCAAACAACATGCATTTGGTCTACGCTATATGCTCCATATCTTTTTGGGAATCCAGTAAGACCAGGTCATGGTGCTTAGATCTCCTCTCACTACCCTTATGTATATGCAGAAGAGAAAAATAATAAACCAATCTTCAGTATTATGTCCTCAACTCAGCTTTGAAACCTTTACAGAACTATATTGTGAGATCCTGGTAAATGAACAGTATGTCATCTTGTTTTCTTGGGAATACATGGACTATATCTGAAACAAAATCCCAAAAACAATTCATGTAGAATATTTCTATAGAAAGGAAAAAGAAGTAACCTTACCATAAGGATGCATGTGGTCTCCTGGCATCTGTGGTGGAGTGAGACCTTGCTGGAATGGGTCTGTACTGTACATGTTCTGTTCCACAGACAGTAGTTGTTGTTGAGGAAGAGATGTGAACACATTCATGATTCCTTCAATACTGGAGTTACTTGAACTGTGTGTTTGAGCTGTAAGGCATTAAGAAGTCATTGTAATTTTAATGTATACATATACTAAATGTGGACAGAAAAGAAAAACTTCAAACTCCAGGACTGAAGCTGGTCCTAGGACCAGCACAAGTTAAAACTAATTGTATGTTAATTCCTACATGGGATAAACCTATCCCTTCTACAAATGCTAGTTTCCTGACTCTGGCTGACTTCAGGACCTTGAGATCACAGACCTGGAACAACCAAGCAAAAGATGAAAAATGTCCTTATCTCTACACCTGTTCCTGGTTAGTTGCTCAAAGTACTGAAGCCAAAGCTTAAATTGTATGTAAACCCGAAGAACAAATTTCTCTTATATGACATCTTTTGCTCTGTTAAATATACACCTGTTTATATATACACGTTTTTGCTGTATACCGTACATTCAATGCTCTCTTTATGGACTGCAGAGCACTTTTAGCCGGTGTTATGGAGATGACAATGTGACAATGGTGGCAACTTTGGGAATACCAGGTAAATTCTGGAAATTAACTTGAGGATAACAAACCTTTTATTTAACCAGCACTGTTTGAGACTTAGCCATACTCATGTCTGCAAAGTCTCAACAATTACGTCACAATGCATATTTTTCCTCTTTCACTTTCTGTACATTCAAAAGACTTTCTAAACTGTGCACAATATAGCCTTGAATACCAGCTACAGATAAGGATACCAGCTACAAGCTGGAGCACATTACTTCACAGGAAATAAGGGAGGGGGGAAGTGAGCTGATGACCTTGCTTTTGCAAATACAGGCTACTAGGATTATTAAAGTTTAAAGGGAAACTCTGCAATATATGGGTGCTGCCACAACAATACTGCTCCTCCATTGACAGAGCACAGTGAGTGAGTACTGTGACCCAAGTACTGGAAGTGTGTTAATGGTTTATTCACTAGGTGAAAAAAGCCTGAAAAAAGAAAACTAAAGCCGGCCATAGATGGCTCAGAAGGGTCCGGCCAAGATTCAAACCATCTATGGGCAGGCTGATTGTACCCAAGTCATTTGTTGTACAACTTGGGTACAACCAGCATGTCAGATTTATACACGCGATTATTGTTACATTACACAAAAAGATTGTTACATTACATTTTTGTTCTTGAGATTGGAAATATGACCACCAAAAAACTAGCAATTTCAGAAGTAGAGGTTTGCAATGACAGTCTACATATTTCTTCCATTACTGGTTTTCTATAGGAATGCAGTAAGTTAGAGGATAAGTTCACCTTTAAAACAAAAATAATAAATGCAGTTAAAAAAAATGTGCATTTATTATTTTTGTCTACAGGAGCCTGGAAAGGATTGTACCAGTGATCAGTAGATCAAGCAGACCTGACAGAATATCTGCTTGCTGTATGGGATGTACAAGCAAGCAGATATACTGTCAGGAAGCTTCAATGAGCTACCACAGCACCATCTGGACTTACAGTTCATTCATTCATGGCCGCACTGTTTTCAAATCTGACAGATAGTACAAGGAAACTTTTCTGTCAGGGGGGGGGGGGGGGGGCAACTGCGACTATGGGAACATGTTACATGCTCCACCTTAAAAATGAACATGTAACATCTTATCCCTTAAGCATTTACACAACTTACTTGATGTTCCAGATATTAAAATACCAAGCATATTAGGATTCCTACCATATATGTTCTGAATAGATACACTCACTGGCCAGTTTATTAGGTACACCTGTTCAATTGCTTGGTAACACAAATTTGCTAATCAACCAATCACTTGGCAGCAACTTAATGCATTTAGGTATGTAGACGTGGTAAAGACGACTTGCTGAAGTTCAAACTGAGCATCAGAATGGGGAAGAAAGGGGATTTAAGTGACTTTGAACGTGGCATGGTTGTTGGTGCCAGACGGGCTGGTCTTAGTATTTCAAAAACTGCTGATCTACTGGGATTTTCATGCACAAAAATATCTGGGGTTTACAGAGAATGGTACTAAAAAGAGAAAATATCAAGTGAGCAGCAGTTGTGTGGACAAAATGCCTTGTTGATGTCAGAGGTGAATGGGCAAACTGGTTGCTGTGACATGCAGATGGTAGGGTCAGAATTTGGCGTAAACAACATGAAAGCTTGGATCTATCCTGCATTGTATCAGCGGTTCAGGCTGGTGGTGGTGTAATGGTGTCGGGGATATTTTCTTGGCACTAGCAAGGTTTACCTAATAAAGTAGTCAATGAGTGTATATTGTTCTAATTGGGATTATTATTATTTATTATTATTTTACAGGATTTATATAGCGCCTACAGTTTGAGTCCTCTGGGAGTCCTGCTCTGAATCTTGACATAGTTATCAGGAAAAGCTTGTCATAATGGAAATGTGATGATATAGTTGCACTCAGAATTAAACGTTCACCAAGCTAGCTAGACCTGCTATTTGTACCACTCATGTTCTTTGAGACTGCAAGCTAAACCTTTATTGACAATCTGCAATATTGTAACTATTCAACAATAAAGTACTGTATTTCAATCTTATATTGAATCTGTATCAATCAGGGGCGGACTGACCATTTGGAAACTGCCCAAGGGGCCCGGGGTCAGTAGTGGGCCCCATGTGATGCCCCTGGTACCTTTTTCATAGGATTTTTTGAGTTTGGGCAAGGACACAGGGGCCCCATGATCCCTTATTGCCCGGGGGCCCCATGAGTTGTCAGTCCATCCCTGGTATCAATCATTTCATACTACTAGGATTATTCATTTGATATGTCCTATTTTAATTGTTGTCATAAAATGGTTGCAGGTATCCAGAATACGCATCCTTGGCTTCCAAAGTAAGCCTTTAAAAAATGCTGAGAAAACTTGTACAATCGCCCTTTCTGGGAGCACAACTTACTGAAGTTTATGTCTTTATGAGTAAGCATTATTAACAGCAAAAATATATATAACATATCATCTTAATAAACTGTATTTATAATTTAAAGAGAATACAATATATTTAATACACGAAAATGTATGTAAACTGCATACTTTTTTTATCCCCTTATCAAAATCCTAAACTCGCCCCTTGTATCCCTGATCACCTGATTGAACTGAATTGTACGTTTATCTATTATAGAAAGCCTAGCAATGCTTTTGTAAAAGGAGACCCCTCTCCCTAATCTTTCCGGTAGGAGTGACAACAAATTTTCAGCAGCAGGAAAGCCTTGAGGGGCCAATCCCTGACTCATTAAAGCATGCATTGCCGGGAAGAATTGTTACCATACCTGCTGGTATCCGTGAAGGGTTTTGCTGATCTTGCTGCTGTTGCTGTTGCTGTTGTCTCCTTGCCAACTTCTTCATCTAAGTAAAGCACACAAGTGAGATTCTAGAAAATAAGCATGCTTGCATACTATTCTAGTAATTCATTCAGGTAATGTGCGCCATATAAATATCTAGTCCGGGAACTGCATTGTGTACTCTTTGCACAACTTCATAAAGAGAAACCATTTGTACTTGCATCAGAATAATAAAGATTTTCTGTGTATACAATATGCAGTTTCTACACTTTTTTCAAACAATTATCAAAGTGATATTACAATAAGTAGCAATGAGTAAATCTGTCCAGGTTCAGTTAGCCAAAAGTATGGCAAACATTGTTCAAAATTTAACAAACCTGAAGTTAGATGAGATTTGCTTTGAAGTCTCTGGGGAAGGGGGTCAAATCTTGTTAAACTGGCCATTTTTAGGGCTATTAGGCAAACTGCTATCAATAAAGGCACTACTATGGGGGACATGTACCAATGTACGAAAAAAAAAGTGTTCAGTAGGGAGAGGGTCATTTTATGTGGCTTCAAGGGCAACATTGAAATGACAAAAATACTTTACAAAACATGCTTGTGGACATAAGCCAATTTTTTTTTCTAGATTTGGATAGTGAGATGGGGAATTTGAATTCCTGTCAAGTTTTTAATGATGTCTGTAACTCTATTAGAGACATTTACCCTTCCTTGCTGTCATGCTGACAACAGTTTCATCAGACAGGAAGTGAGGGAAAATCTTCAAAAGGGACACAAACAGAAATAAAATCTGAAAAGGGGGTTCTAGCTATCCCTCAATAGATAAAGATAAGCATTTTTATTTCTCTCTGTATTAGAGTTTGCATCACATCCAGTCTGGTGAAAGTGCTCTAAGTAAGACAAGAAGTGAGGGTAAATCTCTTTAAAGCATCCTTGGATAGCAGTAAAAGCCTCACAGTGGTTCTAACTTTACCCACTCTAAAAATTCAAAAACTAAGAACAAAGTTTTGACTGGACATATGCCAAAATGGAGTAAAGTACCTTAGTGTTCACATTTGTGGGCTGACAAGACTGGCGCCTGCGTTTCTTGCCCATTAGGGTCACTATATGTATGTAGTCTGTGTAGTCTGACAAAATTGGGGCCTGAGTTTATTGCCCATTAGGATCACCAAATATATGTAATTTGTACATTCTTTCTGTGATTGTATGGGTTTCCTCCCAACATCCAAAAACAGGCCCAGTGTAACTGTAAAGGCATTAGGTCACATGTGTCAAACACAAGGCTTGCAAGCCGAATCTGGCCCACCAGACCTTTTCATGTGGCCCTTGCACTTCTCCTTTAGCTGCAACACCTCCCTCATCTCCGTCACCACCTTGTTTCAGCATTCGGCAGTAGAGAGGAGGACAGCACTCCTCCACCTGATCCTGCACTTCTTTGTGTAGTCGCAGCACCCCCTCGTCTCCACCTACCCTGGTCTCAGCATTCAGCAGCCTCCTCTGTTCCTCCTCCAGACCCTGCACTTTCTGCTTCCCAGCTCTTCCCCCAGCTTCTTCCCAGAAGCAACACAAGGTAAGGGGGTGCACTGTGATGTAAAGAAAAAAGGTGGGGGACCCATGACTTCTGATGGTGAGGGCTCTTGACATCTTATGTAAGGGGGGCTGGGGGTGCTCTGGATATCTAGTTTTACAGACACAACCAGCCCTTTGTGGGCAACCATAATGCTGATGTGGCCCGCAATGAAATTGAGTTTGACATCCCTGCATTAAGCTGTTAGTTTCCTGAGGTTTAAGGAGATGTTAATGGTATGATGTTGTCTGCAAAGCACAGTCTACAAATGTAGAGCACTGAATACATGAGTGAAATAAGTCACTATGTATATAATCAATATTCTATACCAAATACTGCAGCCCTTAGAAGATGTAAAGCTTCCAACGTATCACTGTAATATATGGCATTGATTACATAGGTCTGCTTGGTGTCTCACCTTTGCTCGTTGATTTTGGAACCAGACTTGTACCACACGAACACTAAGACCAGTTTCTGCCGCAAGTGTCTCTCTCACCTTAACCAAAGGAAACAGATAATTGTTCAGCTTTCAGATTTGGGTGAGACAAATTGGATGGCAGTCAGGCAAGCATACACCACCTCATCCAAAATGGTGTTTTAAAAAAAAACATTATTATAGAAATGCATAAATCTCTAATGCCAGAGGTACAATATGGGGTTGATTTACTAAACCTGGAGTGTGCAAAATCTGGTGCAGCTGTGCATGGTAGCCAATCAACTTCTAACTTCAGCTTGTTCAATTAGGCTTTGAGAAAAAAAACCTGAAAGCGATTGGTTTCTATGCAGAACTGAACCAGATTTTGCACTCTCCAGTTTTAGTAACTCAGGTGTCCGTTTATGACAAAGAGAATAGCTGCGATTCCAAGGATCGCAGATATTCTCTGGTCATTCACAGTTTATGACACTCAGGAGATCAGTGGAGAACTGTTCAGCTCTTCACTGAAGATCTGTGTTCTCCCTCCAGATTTTCCAGCCCAGAGCCGGCGAATCAGAGGAACCGCAAACTATGCAACGATAATTTACCTCTGCTTAGTAAACTGATCCTTTACTATAATCTCGGGAGATTATAGTAAAATCAGCCGTTTTCCACCATTTGTAGACCGTTCTCCAGCGTTTGGAGACCGTTCTCCCTTCGTTCGGAGAACTGCTTCATAAAAGGCATTCACAGGAGAACTGTGTTCTCCGAGAATGCCGGAGAAATGAGCAGCGATCATTTATCGCTGGTTCATAAACGGACACCTTCATCCCCTATGAACCATAGCAAATGAGAGATCTTTTTTTTTTTTCTGAAGTCCATTTTTTTTCTGCAATCTGAGGTCACCACAATGTGGTGTATTGCCTAAGTATGCTATTTTAAATATAAAGTCAGTGGCAGTAAAAGTGATACTTTAGTTATAGCCAGGTGTTAGGGAATTTTATCACATGCTGTTCTCTTTTATTTGTGAGAAGGTCCCTACACCTGATATCCATAGGACTTTCTGCCTGAGAAGGTCATAACAAGAAGATACAGGAGTTTCCAAAAGACATGAGCTAGTAGGCTATTCAGCCAACCAGCTTGCACCCATAATTAAAACAGCAGTTTTGGCTGGCTGATTGTATATTTTTAATGAATAATTTGGGTTCATGTATTAAAAATACTAAAGCGTATTTTTTTTTCTGCCATCCTGGAGTCAATACGTGAATGAGTTTTATCAGGATGTAGTAATAGAACAAAAGTTTTGTGATTGTAGAATATGTCAAATCTAGGTAAGGTGTGCTCTTTGCAAACCCTGAGATATGGAGTGTTCCATTAAACAGCAATATTCACCAATCATTTCAAAGTGAACATAGAATAAATATATTAAATTTCTGTGCAAAAGTTAAAATTATGTTACACAAACCTTCATGTTTTAATGATTTCAATGCATAGGCAAGGTGCATATAGACTTTTGAACTCCAGGCCTTAGAGGCTGACTTTCTAAAAATAAAAAATCATAGGAGGTAGGGCTTTTTGGCAGAAGAGATATGCAAAGCCTCTTCTGCCAAAAAAAGTCTTCCTCTTTCCCCAAGCCAGGGGCGGACTGACCATTTGGAAACTCGGGCACTGCCCAAGGGCCTGGGGTCAGTAGGGGGCCCCATGAGATGCCCCTGGTACCTTTTTCATAGGTTTTTTTGAGTTTGGGCAAGGACACAGGGGACCCATGATCCCCTATTGCCCAGGGGCCCCATGAGTTGTCAGTCCGTCCCTGCCCCTAGCATTTTTTTTTTACTGTGTACACTGTACAGTGCATGCATTTTACAGTATACACTCTCTGTACCCTCAATCTAGGCACTTTAAAGATGGGGCAGGTGCTGGGGAACAGATAAGTCCTGTGTGCATGCCCAATGGCCAAAGAGAATCGCTTCCGGACCAAGACAAATAGGCAGCAGAGAGGATAGTAGCAGGGGGTGCAGATGTGACAGATGCCTGAAATAGTACTGTAAATGCTATAACCTGCAAACATATTTGCTCTAATCTGCAAGTATGCTGTATATGCTACAGATTATGGCAAAAAGTGTACCACCACCAATGAAGTTTAATTTTGCTAGAAAGTTAACCTGTGCCAAAATCATACACACTAAAGTATTGCCATATTCCAAACAAGCAGTAAAAGCACTTTAAAAGGAGCCCTCATTCATCCCTGTATCTAAAAGCATTGTGGAGAAATTTTATTTTCAAAGCACACAACACATTGTTGAAATCTTAGTTGTTTCCTTATTACTTTCTGTTGCATTAGAATCTTAGGCGTTTACAAGCCCTCTACTGTAAAAAAAAGAAAAACATCTTTTTGTTGTGATTTTTGGGGATCTTTAAGAATGAATAAATTCACAGATTGAGAGGGCAGGGTTTGTTTTAAAGCTATTTTACTCCCTTAAGACTATGTAAATAGTTTAATGTCTATAGTCAAGGCACAGGTGCACTTTAACTAAAAAAAAAAATTCCCCTAAAGTGCAATCTCTTGGAATAAGGATGTGTTTTCTAGCTGATGGGTCGTTTAGCCTGGTATTGATATGAAGGAAAAAAAATATAAGCAAAAACAGAGATTTTCTCTAAGTTGTTCCTATTTTATTAGATGGTTATCAAAAAAAAGTGCTCCATCTTCTAAAGGGTTAGTTCACCTTTACAGAATAAAATGTAAAAGTGAAGTAGCATCGTACACCCACCACTTCCCCCTCCAGGTCCCTGCTGTACTTACCGCCGGTAATCCTGGCAATCCTAAATTATCAGGGCTCCTTAAATTGGTTCAATGTTCTGGGGATTTGAGAATTTTGCTCTTCTCTCTCTTCTATACACAGAGCTTCCGGGACAGCTCCATCTAAAGGGTTAGTTCACCTTTACAGAATAAAATGTAAAAGTGAAGTAGCATCGTACACCCACCACCCCCCTCCAGGTCCCTTGCTGTACTTACCGCCGGTAATCCTCAATCCTAAATTATCAGGGCACCCAGATCTTCCGGGACAGACCAGACTCGACTGACAACAGAAGCTCTGACAGTTCAGGATTGCCAGGGATACAGCGGGGGAACGGGGAGGGGGGTTGGTTTGAGGGTTTACAGTGTGTTAGTTCACCTTCACATTTTTTCTGTAAAGGTGAACAAACCCTTTAAGGGTACGTTTCTCATACTCCAGGTCTATTCACATCACCGTGCTTTGCTTCCCAATGCAACAGAGATCACCCAGGTTTCAATGGTTTTCTTGTTTCCTCTGATGGTCCCAGGCACCACTGTCCAACACTTCAAGTAAGCTTGAATATATATATACTATATATATAACTCAATATCTGTCACTATGGTCAAACCAAAGTAAATGTGTGGTTTACTGTCATACTAAGGAAGACAGAGTATCTGCTCACCTTTCTGCATGGCTTGGAGGAGACCTCAAATGACGCTTTAAAGGCTCTACGCTGCTGTGTTGTCAGAATGGTTCTGGGTCTCTTAGGCCTTTTCTGATCTTTGCCATCTTCTCCTTTGCTGTCTTCAAATTTTCCGCCATCTTCATCATCATCACTTTTACCTGATGGTAAGTGAAAAGACAATACAAACTCAAAAGAACTGTTTTTGGCACAAGGCTCCCAGCTCATGGAATGCTGTCCTACACTATCCCCACATTAACTCTCCTGTAGTCCTACCACTAACACTCAAGCTATCCTTCTATGTAACAATAACCATCCTTTATTCAAAATGTGCTCTTCATTTGCATACTCACCTCTCTTGTATGGGAATCCTCTGTGCTGAAGACTAACCTTTCCATAGAAAAGACAATCTTCCTGCTTTCATTTGTGCTCTAACCATAAATAATTTGCATGTCTATACCAATTTCTTCAAGCAAGGAATACAAATCTTATTTTTTTATTTATTAGGAAACAATGATTTTACATGGGATGTAGTTTCTACAAGTATGGTAAGGAATTTACAATATTAATTGAACTGTTATATGACCTGTTCTAATAACAATTTTCTCTGTTCCCAAAACAATCAATCTGAATAAAATTTTCATTCTGCAACTGTACTTTCCACTGCAGGCTTAAATCTAATTGGTGGCTGTGAAGGTATTCAGAATACTTTGTGAAACGATACGTTAAATTGAATTTGAAACCCAGTTTTGGATAGAGTAGAGATTATTTTAACCCCTGTTCATTTTTTAGTTTGCGGTCTGTGTCCCATTAAGGAGATATCCCCTCACTTCTTTCCCTGCAGAAGAAGACCAGGAATTGAGAGGAATTCTCTCCAGAATGAGAAAAAATAGTCAGTTATAACCAGGGGCGGACTGACAACTCATGGGGCCCCCGGGCAATAGGAGATCATGGGGCCCCTATGTCCTTGCCCAAACTCAAAAAAGCCAATGAAAAAGGTACCAGGGGCATCTCATGGGGCCCCCTACTGACCGCGGCCCCTCGGGCAGTGCCCGAGTTTCCAAATGGTCAGTCCGCCCCTGGTTGTAACTGAAACAGGTTTACCCATTTAAAAAGATTTCCCTTTGTTCCTGTTTTGTTGACCAAAGTAAAATGTCCATCACCTTCTGTCCCTATTACAATAGTCAGGAGTGAATCCTCTTAGCAGGAGTATAGACAGTAATAAAGAACTTAAAATGGAATTTTAATACTTTCTATCTATGTACAAAAACTAAAAAGAAACTACTTTAAAACATTTTGGAATAGAAGGTGATGATTGTCATGAGCCTCATTTGTGGCGAGAGTTCCCATATGGAAGAAAAATATATTTGAAATATATTTTTAAAATATATTGACATATATTTGAAATGCTACAATTTTGGCCATATTCCATATATTTAAAAAAAATAAATAAATAAAATTTTATATATATATATATATATATATATATATATATATATATATATATATGTACTGCATATGTTGAAATGCGTTTTTATTACAAAATATATGAAAAATATTTTTAAAAATACATTTCAAATATATTATATGTCTTTAAAAATACAATTTAAATCTACATTTTTGGAATGCATTTACAAATATATGTAAAAATATATGTTAAAATTACTTTTTTATATGTTAAGAAAAATCTGAAGAATATATTTTAAAAATATATTTTTAAAAATATTTTTCATATATTTTTTATTATATAAAAAACGAATTTCAACATGCAGTGCATGTGTGTGTGTGTATATATATATATATATATATATATATATATATATATATATATATATATATATTTTTTTTTTTTTTTTTTTTTTTTAATATTGAATATGGCCAAAATTGTAGCATTTCAAATAAATGTCAATATATTTGGGAAGAATGTTTTTAAAACATCTCAAACATATTTTTCTTCCATATGGGTTATAATTAGAATTTTCCATTTTCAGCCTTGCACAGGAAAAATAACAATTGCAATCAGATGTCTTCCTTTAGACAATTTGAAAAATAAATAATTTGCATAATAAAAAAGACATCATTTTTCTTTCAAACACTTTTATAAATAATGATCATTATTTTTGCTGCTGTGATTTTTCTTTCTTTCTTTAATATGCTTTTATAGAGCTTCATGTGGTATAAAAAAAAGATAACCCAGTCAATACTCTGTAGCTGGTCATATTCTCATCTTTTGATTAATTGTGAAGATATAGAAACACATCGGTATGTTTCCTGCTTTACCAACCACAGAGGCATCTCCCATCCATGTTTGAGTTGTATATAAGCAGTATCATAAAACAAGAGGGTGCAGTTCCACCCGAAAGCATGAGAAATTGTTACCACTCTTCCTAATACTTTGTTTAAGATAGATTTTGTAGATGTTCTTGCTTTTTGCACCCCCTAGAGATGTAGAGCAAAGGATGTGCTAGCTGTTTGCTTAGGCTTTAGCAATCTGCCTATATATGAGAACTTGGATGGATCTATAGGCAGCCTACAGCAGCCAACTGAATTCCAGCTAGGGCATGTACAGTACTGTACCTAGCCAGGTAGGAGGTGGATATGTAGACAAAGCAAGAGCACCACACAGCCCTGCCACCTAGGGCAATGAAGCGTTTAATCCAAGGTCTACATGTTTCATTACTAAAGTGGTGGGATGGATAAAGGGGGGCTTTGGGGGAAAACATTATAATGTCAGTTTCACCAGTCCCCCTTTAAGCTGACTATGCAAGCTACAGAAATGGATTTCAGTACATGAGCTAAATATTTATTTTAAAGCTAGACATTTCCTTATTGTGTTGTTTAAATACTTCTTTCAAACATATTTCTTAAGGGACTGATTTAAAATGTGAGGCTTATCTGCAAAACTAATGAATATTTTAGTTCTTAAACTACCTGTAATGGAACATAAATTATTAATAACACTTTTTCTAGATTTCCATTACAGCCAATTTGGAAAGGAAATGATCGCGGAATTAAAAGAGCAAATTCATAAGCCCACAGGACTTGATTTAGAACATAGTACAGTACTGTAAATATCCTCTTAATTAATAACCAAATAGGAGATAATCAGCACAGGGTTTTCCTATTATGGTCAGAATTAGATTATTTTTAAAGGGAGCCTGTCAGAACAAATTCCTCCTATTGCCAGCTCTGGGATAGGCCCATTACTCTGCAATATGCTACACAGGAGTGTACTGCTCCTGAACTAGTACAGTGACCAGGAATTGGTCTATTGAAACCTCTAGCAGTGGCTGAGGACCTTGGATGTGGCAGGAAAAAATCTTTTTCTTGAAAATTGATCATAGGACAGGCTTTAACCTATTATTATTTAACAGTTAAATAACATTGAATAGGTTCAATATTATTTAACCTGTACCTAAGCCATCACTAGGTTCCTCACTTGTACTAAACCTCACCCCAATTCGTGCTGCTTACTTACCTCTGTTGCAGCCTGCTCAGGTGTGTACATCCCTATTGATGAAATTCATTCCACCAGGGCAGTACAGAAAAGATATGCAATTTTGATATACAATCCCAAGTTTATGGTGCACAAATCAGTGAGAATTTTGTTGGCAAGAATGTAAACACCAAAGTGAGCCATGGCTGTGCAGAGGTAAATAAGAAGCTGGAGTGTATGTGTGTGTCAAGCGAGGGGTTAAATGCCATGTGGGACATGTAACAATGCAAAAAATGTTTTTTTTTTGTTTTTGTTTTTTTGTACCTGCTGTGGAGAGAAGGTTGTTAATGTGATTTAAAGGGCAACACTAAAAATACACAAATCCTTTAAATCACATGCTTGGGGGGTGCCATGATTAAATAATGCCATAAATGTGCATGTGAAAATGCAAATGCAATAAGTTGTACTCCTTTAAAAGTGACATTTTGTGTTTACAAACTGTGGCCAGGGATCTGTCATTAAGCAGTGGTAACACTACCGCCTCTAAATATCAGACCGTCCCAGCTTCCATATGTACACAAACCCATAGATCTGTCCTTTAGTGGTACTATCACTACCATCTCTAAATGACAGATATCCACCAGTTCATTATCATAGTTGGTCAATAACATTACCCAGTATTCCACCAGCTTTTGTATGTAAGAAAGCCAGCAGGGATCCTGGGTTTCTGTCATTTGCAACATGAGTAGTGGAAGGTTAAGATGGTCAGGCATTGCAGATCTAAGGGGCAACATCGACGGGATTCACTCATTGTGATTGATATTGATCTACATTACTGGACAATATGGTTGATCTTGGATTTACATTGGGGAACATTTTTTTTTTATAATAAAGGATGTTTTTCACATTATATGTGTTTTCTATTTATATTTTTTTGTGAATGAGTAACAAGGGGTACTATTTATGGAGCAGCATCTGTGAGCCCCCAGAAGGGGACTTCCAGATAACAAAGTCCCCAAAGAATCCCACATCCCTTTTGGGGAACAGGATGTGGCGATAGTATATAAGGGGATGAGGTGTCTTTCGATAGGGAGAGCATTTCCATTCCCTTGGCATGGTGAAGTTTGGCATGGTTTAGGAAGGGAGGTGCACACTTGTTGCCCACTACTTTCCTTGCCAGCCAGGCTGCATTGCTGCATAAGGATCTTCTATGAACCTTTAAAGGGTCTCCATGTGTTTAATGTTTTCTCTTAAAGAGATTTTATTGGAATTTAAAAGAATGGCTTCTGGCTGTGTCAGCCAAAGGTTCAGTCTGGTTGGCTAACTGGCCAAATCTGCCCATTTCTTTGGCCTGTTCAGCAAACTGGGAACGGCCAAGGTTCAGGTTAGACTCATGGATGGCCCAAAACACATTCCTTGTAGGGAGGTGAGAGGATGAGAGTAGGAACTGGGCCACACAGACAGTAATTAGATACTCCCAGAAGAGGGGAGGGCTATGACATACATGGAATTAACAAAAAAAATTAATACTGAAAGCATAAGAGCTGACTCCATTAAAGGTTAAGAAAAAATGTTTTGCTCAAGGTGGCGAATTAGAATTATTGCTTATTCTTGCCTAAAGATGAAAAGTCAAAACTACTATTGCCAACAACTTCATTCTCCTGCTAATTTCTTCCAGTTTTAATCCATCAGCCTCATAAAGTTTTAAGAAGTTAGTAGTTTAGTAAATCAAGTAATTTGAGATCACATAAAGTATTAAAATGGATAAATCTTTTACTATAAATGTTCTTATATATGGATTATAAGGGTAAAATAAAATATTTTTCTTCAGTAAGCTACTTAATATTGTATTCTGTATGTGCAATTAGAGCACTGTATCTACACATTGAAGGCCTGTCTATCAAAAGACCAACCAAGAAGTAAGACTGGAAATGAGCAAACAAGAGCCCACTGGGAGCTCTCCACACTATGACACCCTAATATCGCACAGCTTGTCACCACCTGCCAGAAAAGATCATATTCAAGTTGAATAATAGTAAAGAGCTCCTAAAACCAATGCAAATTCAACAAGGGGAGACTTTTTAATTAGTGAGAAATCTGCAGTCTTAAATGTCTTAGGCACTAGAAGGGATACTTAATTAAGCCTTAACCCTCTTCTCTTAGTCCTGCCTGAGAAGCCGAAACCATATTGTGCTTGGTGACCTTTACAGGAGCTGGTCTTGGATGGCTCTAGACAATTGTAAGGTCCATATAGTACAAAGGATGTTTATTATCACTATGAGATGAAGACGAAGAATAAGGGGCATCCTGAATAATGAAGCTGCACTTACCAATCTCTTTCTTTCCTTTCAAATCACTGCCTCTGTTGGTTCGGGAGAATTAGAAGAAGAAGCAGAGTTAGGGCACTTAATTGGAAATGGGGATGGTTTTTGAGTTGGTTCTGTTTACATAGGATTGAGTGCTTGAGTTGACAGAGGCTGTAATTGAAGTGTGAGCTTTGGAGATTAGCTGCAGCATATGGGATCTGTGGCTCTGCTCTCCTCCTTTCTACGTTTTCCAATAAAATTGGGTTTAACTTATGCTTCCCCTCTCTTACCCTCTTGTCTACAGAGAGCTCTTTCAAAGTTAGACATCAGAAGGATACAGAAGGCGATACAAAGCAAGAAAGACCAATCATGGAGAACGGAGAATGAAAATGATCATGAATAGCCAAATTCTAAACGGAGTCTGCAGAAAACTATAAACCTGTTGAACTAGCAAATATTTTATATATATATATATATATATATATATATATATATATAAATTGTGCTGTTAAAGAACCGTATTTATGTATTGCACACATAGTCAGCTTGTAAAGTGCCATCATAAAACAAATCATATCATTTTAATTAGACTTGTATTGAATCTTCCTACTTGCATTTATTTTACCTAGTAGAATAATGTTTCGTAAGCTCTATCTAAGTTACTAGAATTGGTGAGAAGTGGCAATGAAAAAAAAAAATTAAAGATGTAAACAACTTCTAACATACATAAAAGAAAATAACCATTAAACATGACAAAAAGCAGATTTTGTTTCCAACTGCTTACACCTAACACAAAATGTACACCCAGAAATGTAATAAGAAGCCACAAAGCCCAGGCCACATACAATTAAAGTTCCATGGCCAGTTTTGACTTAATAATAAAAAAAATAATACTAAGTAAAATGTGCTCTTTATAAAACGTACATTTTTTAAAAAGAAAAAATTCATAATATACACACTTTTATATGACCTATATGGGAAACTCTTTAAGAAGCTGATAAAAAGCAACCATAGTAATTCTTTTAAAAAATATGCTTTATTCTGTATAAAATGTGTTCTGGGCTTATAGCTGCCGAATAAGGTTGGGGAGCAGTTACAGTATGCTGTGCCCCATCATTTCATAGAAGACCTTTCATCTTCAACAGTAAAGTCAAAGTTTTAGGCTCACAACTATGTTATTTACTATTAAATACGTTAGTGAAATTATTAGAAATACTTTGATTTACAGTGCAGGAATTAACCATAAAATGTTGATAATAAATAAAAGTGTTCCTATTAAATGAAGATCAAGACAATTGATATGACAATTTTAAGTAAGGGCAGGATTTACCATAAGGTGCAGGCATTAGGTGGCACAGGCAAATAGATTGGCTTCCCTGTATATTTATTGACAACACTCTTTTGTGTCTTCAGAAAGGAAGTGAGGGGAAAACGTGCTCAACAGTGAAACTGGCCAACATAATTTTTAACCGTACCACTTTATTGAAAACAAACAACAAAAAGTCCCTGGAGTTGCACTTTGTTTAACTTTGCACGAGACATACCTGAGTCAGAGGCCGCCGGGCTCACCAGGCTGAGCAGATCCCGTTCTCTTTCATAGTCACTTTTACAGAGAAGCTGTCCATCTTTCAGCACAAACTCATCACCTTTCTGAAGCTGCCTCTCACATACACAGCAGCAGAAGCAGGAGAGATGATAAACACTCTTTTGTGCCCTCATGACAAACTCACTGGGAGTGATGGTGTCTAGGCAGGACCCGCATTTTACTGCGAAGAGTCTATAAGGAAAAAAGAGAAAAAGTTCTAATATTGTACACATTAGGGCTGACAAATAATAATCAGGAGCATTTCCCATTACCTAGCCCTTTATTTATCCTTGTCAAAGCATATTACCATGATCTAATATTTTAGTTAGGCAAATGACCAGGCCATGAAATGCCTTATTTAGATGACGACAGCATAGGCTGTTGAGGTCATTGTCAGTCTATCATATGGTTCACAAAGTATACAAATTGTAGTACTTTACTTGGTAGCCTACCTAGCCATCCATGGCTCATGAAGTAATAGATACCTGATGTTAATATAATGGCTTGCTTACACTTAATGCTATTCAGGATTGCAGTGCAATGTATTTCTACAGGGTAAAGTGAACTGAAAAGTCCCAGGACATGGCTCTGTACACACCAATGCATGTGTTGCCTATTTTAATGCATGTAATTTGCTGCATTCCTGATCATGGTAATACAGATCATGTACGCTTTAACCAGAACAGAATATGCTATGTTTAACCTAATTTGAAATATAGTTCAGAAAAAAAAATCCAAGGTGACCTGGAAGTTTGTTGAGTTGCCCAATACAAAGATATTACATCACCTGTTAGACTACTATGCACAGAAATATTTAGATAACCAGTCAAGCATGGGCATTTGTAATCCTCCACATGTTCACATTTAAATTGCAATGCTGCAACTAGGTTTACATTTACCACAAGCCACAGTAGGCTTGTAGCTATAGGCTACACAGGGAAAGAGTTGGCTTTTTCCTCTGCAATCATTGACCACATATTTGTTCCTCATCATTAGCAGAAATAATGGTCATCACATATTTACACAGACACAATATTCTAAGCCAGGCATACACCTGTAAAATAAGTAACTGTTCTGAGTAAATCAAGGTAATCCAAGCAGTGCAGAGTTTGTTTGGTCACTAAAGACTGTGTGCTGAATGGTTCAAGTGATAGAAATGCCAGGTTATTAAACCCCTGCCTAAACTTAGTGCCGACAGCAAAGACCTCAGGTTGCTTCATGCTGAAAACGAATTTACTTTTATGTAACCCTGAGAGTACCTTTGTTATATTACAACTTTTTAAATGTATGTTATCAGCACTGAGCATAGGCAATGGATAAGACAGCTTGTGTAGATGCTGAAACTTGTAAGGGACCTGGATTGGATGGCAGTTTGCGCAAATCATTCAGGTCCTGAACTGCTTTTTCTTAAAATAGAGCAACCATATATCTGCCTTTGGTCACCATCTTGGGCACATTTCTCCCTGCCATAGGGCATCTCTCTGCATTCCTAGCTAGAGGCTCATTGTTCGAAATAATGTCCACTCCATTTGCATTTCTCAACAGTTCACTGCCTTCACCAACTTTTTCCAACAAACATCACATTTGACATACTGACAGCATATTGCAGTGCAGAACACTTTGTAGTTAATCATAACATCCTGATAGCAGTCATAGACAGTGTAAAGCACCATTTTCCTTAATGGAGCCATCTTCCCTACTCTTCAAGGAAGCACCAGCAAATTGGTTCAGCTCCCTTCTGGAATGCTCAGTTCTAGGCCCCAAGGCCTTACTACTCCAAGCCACAAACCCACAGCTGAGGATCAGGGATGGCAAGGTCCCTCCAGTTAGCATCCTGCTTGATCTCAAAATGTCCCATTCTCATTCTCTTGCACTGCTGGGCACTCTCACTTACTATTCCTGGGATATGCTCTTCATGGGCAGAACCAGGGTGTCCCGTTCTCATACCCCACTCTCCCGGGCCCCATCCACAGCTGGTATTATATGGGCCTTAGCTTCACCCATGACATCACTACAGGAGGGTCAAAACTAAAAGGGGCATGAACACCTGCCAACAAACTCAACCTATTTTTTCTAATAGGACAGGGAGAGAATATAGGCAAACAACCAAGCATTAATATAACAACAGCTTTCAAATAAGTCTTAACAATAATACATTTAGCTAATTGTTTTAAAATGTATAAATACCTGGAAATTGGTAAGTTAGACACTATTAATGTTTGTGTATATGCAGATGCCCAATAATATTTTAAGATAATAACGCTATCATCAATGTATCATGTTCAGATAAACAACAATTAATATTTAAAAGCTGAGATAGTCTAAAAGCTTATAAGGTCATAGAACCTATGGAAAATATTCAGTTGGTTAACCCTATTTTGGAGCATTAGAGTAAGATTGTTTTACTTTTTGGCATCAATCATTAGCATAGCCACTATTCAACCTGTCCCAGGAAACAGAGGGAAGGTAACAGATAACTATTGATACACTGCATAACTGCTCAACCTGTGGCTTGTGGGCCTTCAGAGCCTTCTGATGTGGCCCTTGACCTTGAACCAGGGAAGTGTACTTCTAATCTATCCTGCACACCAAAACTCCAGAATTCAGGAGTTTTGATTCACTTTCAGAAAGTGCACCACACCTGCAAGATATAATAGAAGTCTATGGCAAAGCCGAGCTAACCCACAAGAAAGCCGTAGGTGCACTGAGCTACATCTGCTATGCAGGTAAGCCGCAGAGCATCAGTGCTCAGGACAGTAAGGGCTTGGTTACATTTGCAGTTTGGGGGTGGTATAAAGCCATAGTTAAGATGTGTTTTTATCCCACAACCCTACCCCCGAGCACTAGGGTCAACAAGGTGAGAACAAAAGAACACCAGTAACCTCCTGCGCTCAGAGACCCAGGTCAGGAAAATTTGGACAGACCCCTGCTTCTCAGGAGTTATAATGCAATGGTATGTTATGTATATTTCTTTGTTACACATTTTAATACTTATTTATTTGTATGCGCTGTAAACAGGGATTTTAATCATGTATTTCCAATAAGTGCTATGAAAAATTATTATTCTATAAAAATTTTTATCCATCTATTTATATATCTATTTGGGCTAAGCATGCAGAACGTGACACCCCTCGGGAGGGAGGATTTTACATCATGTTAAGTTGGCCCTGAGAAGAGCAGATCTCTCTTCGAAGCATGTCAGCCATTTCTCTAGCGTCTTTCTTCAATCGGGACTCGCACAGAACTCTGGTTCCATTGACCAGTATTTGATATGACATGTTTGTGATTTTTTGGAATTTTTTGAGTATACATCTGTTTTATCCTTTAATAAATACATTGTTGCTGAGGTAATGCACCAGGCTGGTGCACTTTTTTTTGTTCTTGCTTTGAGAACAAAGGAAGTCCGACCGGCTGCACTCCAAACAATCCACTTTATTGAACCAAGATAAAACCAATACAGACAATGGAAATACAGTGGGGGACTGCCAGGTAAACGTGTTTCACACCAAAGACAGCGCTTATTCATTACCCAGGGTCATCAGGGGTCGCAATGGTGACCCCACCCCATGCTCCAGTGGCCCATGTGGCCTCTCTGTCAAATTCTGTTTTACACTTGGACAGGAGGGGCGGCATATACAGGAACCAATCCTCTCCATTTTCCTGCTGCAACTGCTGATAGCCAGCTTTTCTTTCTTCAAACCCCCACCACCACCAACATTAAACTGCAGAAGGAAAAAGTTCAATATGCCATTCAAAATAAAAATTCAAAATTCTGAACCTGTTTATTGTGGCCCACGACCAGTTATCAAATTTCTTAAGTGTCCCTTGCTCTTCAAAAGGTTGTGCACCGCTGCTGTATAAGCATTCTCCTTTTCCTTTTTATTTTGAAACTGTTTTGCATTATTAAAGTATGCCATTTTTGTAGTATGTTTTATTTGTGAATGCTCTGTCTTCTTCCGTATCTTTAAAGTCGTAAAAGTCAACTCCAGCCTAAATTAAAAACTGACTCTTTAGATGTACACAGAGAAAACTGTCTTATTGCAATGCTCAGTATTTCTATTTTTCCCAGGCATTAATGTTCTGTACCAGTCTTCCTCACTCTTTTTTTCAATAATTTAATAGTCCTGGAATGTACCTGCTTGAAATGCTGGACCATCCACTTGCTGTTTCTCACATGCAAAATGTATTGAGAAAATGGCAATACTAAAATGTTTTTTACAGCCATCAATACATTTCAAACCAGCCTTGTACATTTGAATTTGATTTATGATACAGGAAGCAGAGAGAAGATGCACAGGCGTCAGAAAGTATACTCCTCCTGCTCTCCTCCTGATCATGTGAGGTGGTCTGTGTGCTGCTGCTAAAATGGATTACAAAGAACCAAGAATAACGTGAATTGATTGAATTACTGATGTAAGTGAAGCTACAGTGTGCTGGAATGTGTTGGTAGCTTGTTATTAGCTCACTGTTTGTGTTTGCTTATTTTTTAGTTTTGCACTTTAATGTAATGCATTTGTCCCTGATGCTTGAAACATGTTTATATATGAGGATATCTAGAGTATCTAACTTGCCCTCCGGAGGATTTTCCCGTCTTCCTGACCAGACCATTCTTTGCAATATGGCGTTGCATTAATTTAACTGACAATTGCGCAGTCATGCAACGTTGTACATAAAATAAATTTATGTAATTTTTTCCCCACAAATAGAGCTTTCTTTTGGTAGTATTTGATCACCTCTGTGTTTTTTATTTTTTGCGCTATAAACAAAAAAAGACTGACAATTTGAAAAAAAAAAAAAAACAATATTTTTGACGTTTTCCTATAAAACATATCTAATGAAAAATTTAAAAAATCAAATTTCGTCATAAATGTTGGCCAAAATGTATTCTGCTACATGTCTTTGCTAAAAAAAAAAATCCCAATACAAGTAAAATTAATTGATTTATGTGAAAGGTATAGTGTCTACAAATGGCGGTATATATACTGGAATTGTTTTTTTTTTTATGCTAGTAATGGCGGTGATCAGAGACTTATAGCAGGACTGCGGCGGGCATTCTGACACTGGTTGGGAACTAACTGCCACTGACATCCCAAGTGACACTAATGCAGTGATCAGTGCTAATAAAAAGCTCTGACACTGTACTAATGACATTAAGCAGGAAGGATTAACTGTGTGCTGTGTGTGTTTTACTAGGGAGG